CAGCCTCATGAAATAATAATTCTAGGTCTTTTGCTCCTGTTCTACATTTGGAAACTGAGAAACTCAGAAAACCCAGAGCCAAAACAAATGTGTTCGGCTTGGGGCAGTCTCTGACCTGAAATGACATGAGACTGTCTTTAGTTTTTATTTTTATCATGAAGTATGCGTATGAATAGCATGCATTTCGTGACAGAATGTAATATATTTGATTATGGGGTTCTCAGCCCCACTGGCATGTTTATTTAACAAGTATATCCTGTATAATATTTCAAAACTCTGACAGATTTGAAACTCATCAGGCATCTAGATTTTTGGTTAAGAGATACAAAACTGTATTATCCAACTTTTGTTTAAGAGAACAAAATTACGTGAAGTAACTTGCCTAAGTCGTCCTGGTGAGTAACAAATGAGCCAAAACTCAGAAAAGACTTGTTTCACTCCAGAGTTGAGTACCTAGTAAATTTGTATTGAGTAAAAGGAAAGAACAGTAAATATGTACCTATGCCTTCTAGACCTTGAGCAGAACATTCAGATGTTAATAACTAGGTAACCATCACTCCCTTTCTTTACCATTTTAATGTGGTGGTAATTTTAAATGTAATACTTATTCATCAATAGTAAGACAATTCATTGAACTTCTAGGTTTCAATTCAATTACCTAAGACCAAAACTCTGTTAACTGGAGTTTAAGTAGAGCTAAACATTTTTAAGGTCAAGTGCAGGTATAAAGTAAGTTGCTATCAATCATGTTTTAATATCTTGATGTATACTTTGTAATTTTTAAATTATGTGTATGACATTTACCATATTTTACAAAGTTAGGTACCCAGATAAAAATTAAAAATTTGGGCATCTCATTTCTCTGAGCTCATACACTCCACTCTTGAGTGAGTCCTAAAATCTCTGCCTCATAAACCCTTCTCGTCTCTCAAAAAAAAAAAAAAAATTAAAAATTCAAACTCAAATATAGATACTTGACAAAAAGGAAGGAAATATAAAGTGTGATTAAAAGACTATGTTGGTAAAGGCACAAGATCCCAATAATGAATGTAACTGTACTGTACTGTATACCTAAAATGTACCAATAAACTCAATTAAAAAAATATGGTGAATGCTGTTGCTGGGGGCCATCCTCTTAAGGTCAGGGGTCTTTGATATAAGAAGTGGTGCCTCAAACCTAAGTCACAGTGTGTGACAAGTTTCAACCTGTTTGGTGTGGTCAGTTAGTTGTGACCTATGTTTATGTTTTAAAGTGTTCTGCAAATGATGTGTCATGCACAACGCATCTCATTGGAGGTACACCATTGTGCCACTTTAGATTGTAGCTTTATAAGAAATGTCACTGTGGGAAATCAGATTTGGTTGTGTGGTTCTCCTAAGAGCAAGGTTCCGAGTTCGCAATAAAAATCACCTAGATTTCCTCTTGTGAATAAAGTGTGTCGATTAAGATCCAACAGTAAGATGATATTCATTATGTTTTATGACCTTGGAATTGGGCAACCTGAGTTTGTACCCAGGAGCACTACCATTAACTCTGAATATTATAAGAGCTTATTAGAATGTTTAAGAAAAGATGGGAATAGAAAATGGACTGAGAAATGGGCAAATTGTTTCATTCTCCATCATAATGTTCCCTGTCACACATCACCTCTAGTACAGCAGTTAAAAAAGAACATCACATGTTTTCTCATCCAACATATTCACTGGATCTGGCACTGTGTGGCATCTGGCTCTTCCCCAAAGTCAAAATGACCATGAAAAGTAAAGGTTTTGAATCAGTTCATGACATCAAGGCAGCCACAATAATGCAACTAAAACACTCAAGAAAGAGGACTTCCAGAACTGCTTCAGAAAGTAGCAAGGATGATGGGATAGCATGTTCAAAGGTATGAAGAGTATTTTCACAAGGATCAATGGCAATATGTCTTTTACTGCAATAATTTTAAAAATTTAAATATGCACTATATTTTTTAGTCACAGCTGTGTTTGTAATACTACCAGTTGTATTCAGTGTTTATATAAATGTAAGATGGAATTTTGCTTTGAACCTTTGGTCTAGGAATATGAAAGATATAATTAATGAACAATACAACTTGAAGCTATAGTAATGTGATCTTAATATGTAATAATCAGAGTTAGAATTCCAGATTCCTTTGATACTTTGATCAATTCGTGGACCTTGTGATGTAAATTGCTGCTCAGAATTGGCCCTCTGCTTTTTTTGAGAAGTTTGCCTCCTTGAGTACTCATGAGCAAGAGTATTTAAAAAGGGAATGGAAGAGACTTCCACTGTTTATTGGCCTTCAGCCTACCTCCCCCCCCTCCGCACCCACCCCACAATGCACTTTTAAGAACTTAGAAAATCAAGCAAAAATCAGCAACCCAGTTCTCCTCATTGCTTTTACTTTGGCTGCCCCATTTTAAGTGATTCTGTAAAATAATTCCCCTGAAACTTTCAAAATACATTCTACTCATATACCCAACACAACTTTGACATGCTTTTGAGATAAACACCAAAGTTTTTGCCCAACAAAAGTTGTGTTTTACTATGTTTGATAGTAGCTCTTTTTATAAATGCAATTACCCTCAGTGCACCCAATTAACACTTATAATCAACCAACAATGGGTGAGAGACATAGTTATAGCTGGCAGTGTTGAGAAATGTAAAAAGTTAGCTAATGCATTTTCTTTCAAAGAATTCTGAAAAGGCAATAATTGCCTTAATGTCAATAGTAAAAATAGTGATAGTAGTAGTAACATCAGTAGCACCAGGAGCATAGTGCTTTTTCTGTTACCATTCTAATACTTTATGTTAAACTTATCTAATTCCAGCACCAATCTAAAGGGTTAGGTATGGTCATTATTTCCGTTTTACAGACGAGGATGCTAAGGTACATAAGGTTTAATCATTTCCTAAGGTCATAAGGTTTAATCATTTCCTAAGGTCATAATTGGCAAATAAATGATAGAGCTAGCATTTGAACACAGGTGATCTGGCTAGACTGGAGGTATGGAGACTAATTAGGAGGCTACTATAGTGACTGCGAAGAAGAAGAACAGAGGCTTAGAGAAAGTAGTAGCAGCAGGAAGCAAATGTATATTTAAAAATTACTTAAGAGACCGAGTCCTTGGGAATGATATGGAAGTAACAGTAGAGATGGAGAAGAGTTAAAGCTGCTTCCTAGTTTTCTAGTTTGGATGATTGGGTGGGTACAGAAAAAATAAATTAGAAATACAAATCCAACACCATAATGTACAATTGTGGAAACTCAGCCCTGGTTATGGATGAGCCATTGCTAGGTATTCAGTAATAGAGTGGGACTAGAAATACTTCCAACATCCTGACTAGCCCTTTTTTTACTAAGACACACAAATTGCAATAGCAAATACCATGTCTAAGAAAATCATAGTATAAGAAATATATCTTCTTGAAGATAGCCCTAGGGCACTCACTGTATATTAAATAATGAAAAGTCTTCTGTTTTGTATGACTGTGTCATATCTATAATAAATTTAGCACATAGCTCAAGAGTATTTCATATGCTTACAAAGAGAATGGTTAACTTAAAGAAGGTCACAATATACTTCCTTCTTAAATGGACCTTAGGAGTCCAGCCAAGTAAAACTGTCTTACTACATGAACTACTATCAGATATAAGCAGAGAGCAATATTACATTTGCTCATTTGCATCCCTTTATGCTTGCTCCCTAATTCACTCCTCTCATTTTTGGTGAAAATTTCAGAATGGACCTAAACTTTGTCCAGTCATTTTTAGGTACTGAAATGAAAACAGGTGTGGAAGAATACAAGAAAACATCTTAAGTCACAAAAGCACAACCATGTGTGAAAAGACAGATCAACTAGTCTTCATTGTATTTAAAAAAAACATCTGCTTACCCAAAGCCATTATTAAGAGAGTAAAAGACATGCCTCAGAGTTCAAGATTTTGAGAATACATACATCTTTTTTCTAGATATTTGCCAGAGGATCTGTACTCAAACTAGGTATGCCAGTTAATAAAATGTTGACAACTTTTTTAAATGAGTGGATTTGAATAAACATTTTTTGAAAGATGATTTCCAAGTCTTCATTAAGCATGTGAAAAAGGGCTCATAAGCTATCAGAAAAATTCAAAGCCACATTGAGACACCACTGTACATGTATCACAATAGCTAACATTTACAAAGATGATTAATAACAGGTATTAATGCAAATGCCTGGTAACTAGAACTCTCATACATTGCTGGTGAGAGAGAATGAGTAGAAAATGGTTCAGGTACTTTGCGAACTTCTCAGTATCTGCTAATGCTTACCATGTGCCTATTTGTGACTTAGCAGTTCTATTCTCAGGTATACCCCCAACAAAATAAGCACGTATATCCACCAAAAGACAAGTTTAGGAATGTTAATAGCAACTTTTTTTTTCAAAAGCCAAAGTAGAAAAATCTCAAAAGTCCATACTTAGGAGAAGCAATAAATAAATGATGGTATATTCATACAATAGAATACAAAGTAGAAATGGAAAAGATGAGCTACCATCTTCCACAAAAGCATGGTTGTCTTCACTGACTTAATAATGAGCATAAAAGCCAGACATAGAAAGAGTTCAAACATATGATTACATGTATACAAAGTTCAAGATAAGAAAAGTTAATTTGTGATGATAAAAAGTCAAGTCATCCACCCTTGGTAGGATGGTGTTGACTGGAAGTAAGTACGAGGGATTCTTCTGAATTACTAATTTTTTTTATCCAATGTTTCAGTCAGGATTCCCATTGTTGGGACACTATTGCAATGCCCACAATTCAAAGGAGGAGAGGTTTAAATTGGTTCATAGTTCAGGAGATTCAGTCCATGGTTGGTTGGCTCTAAGGCCAAAATATCAGGATGGAAGGTCATGGTGGAAGCAAGCTGCTCACATGGCAATCAGGAAGCCGAGTGAGAAGGAAGGAGCCGGGGAGAGAAATGTACCCTCCAAAGGAACACCCCAGTAACATACCCCTTTCCACCAGGCCACACTTCTAACAGCACATGTAGCTATGAACTCATTGATGGCCTCCACAGCCCAGTCACTTCCAAAGCCCCATCTCTGCACACATGGAACTTTGGGGAACATTCTAGATCTAAACCACAATACCCCAGGTATGGGTAAGGATGTATGAGACTTATATGTAAAGTTCTATACTGTGTTCGTTATATTTCAATAAACAAAAAAAGCCTAATTCAGTCCAGTACCAGTACTTCACTCTCTCACCAAATGAAAGGTTGGACCTTTTTACCCCTTCTGTTGGTCAAAATCCATAATCTGCAGTAGGGAAAAAAGAAGTGATAAGTTTCTTTTTTCCTCCTTGGGTTTTTTTTTTTTTTTCTCCCATTCTTGAACCACTGTCTTTGTCACCTCCAGGATCAGGCACATGGGGGAAAGAAAAATTGAAGAATGGGCAAAGTCTTGTATGTTTTGAGTTACAGTCTGGCTTTGATGCTCTCTGTAATCAAGCACTGAAAGCTTTTGCTGTCCACATTTCCAAGGACTTCCTCTTTATCTTATGGGATGCATCTGTGAGTTTTAAATTTTTATGTTTTGTTTTGTTTTGTTTTGTTTTTTGGTGCTGGAGATTGAACTCAGACCTCACGCTTGGAAGGCAGGCGGCAACACCATGAGCTAAAATCCCTGGCCCTGAGTTTTGAGTTTTTAGCAATCCTGATTTCCTTAGGAGTATCCCAAGTCAGCATTACAAGTAGGCAGTGATCCTCTTACAACTTCAGTAACAGCTCTTGGCTCCAGTCGTTCTGCTTCTGCAGATGGAGTTCTGGCCAGGAAGACTCAAGTGCCCTTCTTTTCCTTGTGTTGTTTGACCTCTGGGAAAATGGACATGTCTTTACCTGACCAATGAGAAAGTCATACTTCTCCCACTGTAGCCACTCTTCCTTTCCTCTTTGAGCCTTTTGGCTTCAGTCTTCTCCATGAGGGAACCAAATCCCATTCCCTAGTGTGCCTAGGGACTGAAGTCCTCAAATTCCAAGTGGTTCCAAATTCTCTAAGTGGTTCTCTGAAGACCCCTGCACTTAACCACCATGGGAAGGAGATTGGATATTCATGTCCAATGATAATTCTCACCAAAGAAGTAGTTTTAAACAACCTTATTTCTACCTTTTGTGTATAATTGCAAAGTGAATAATAGGCTTATGGTAGAGCACAGTTATTATTTTAAACTAGATGAGAAGTGAATGGTTCTTGTATAGAAAGAAAGTAATCATTTGTCTCTTTCCTTTCTGTTCTAATTATGTGAAAGCTTTTCTGAATGAAAATAAACTTTCTGGAGTATGAAATAAACACAAGGTTACTTTTGTTCTTTAAATGTTCCATTGCAAAAATATTTCAGGTAGAAAATTAAGACAGAGAAGTACAATTTATATGCAGGTTTATCATGGCACATATACACACTTACTCCCATACACAGATTACTGGAACCTTCTGAGTAATCATAAATTGCTTTGTGAATCATTGTTTCTACATGTAGTTGCCTGCTTTTTGTCATTGGCATAAGAATAAAATCAATACATCCAAAAATACATGTACATGCATTCATTTAATATGTGCATTACTCAGAACAAAGTGCAAATTTAGGATAGGTAGTTCCTTCTTCCTTCCTGGATGATGTGACCTGTTATTCCCTTTCTTTGAGTAAAGCAACTTTTTTTAGTTATATGCTACAAGTAGAACAGAGAGGTATAGTGTTACAGGATTCATTGTAAAGATGTGTTCTTTCTTGGCAAGTTTACTATTTGCAAACTCATAATATGGATGTGCAGTATTTGAATGAAAAATCAGCTGTGGTCAAATAAGGACAACCTTGAACTCAGCAAGACCCAAATTCAAGCCCCGGCTCCATAACTTCTAGCCACTTAGTTATTCATCAAATTGTAGAAGACTTACTTTATTCCAGACCCTGTTATAGAAACTGAGAAGGGAGGGAACACAAATGAGATCTCTTCTATGGGTTAGTTGGGAGCAATGGTGAGAGAACACTGCGGGAAACATAATAAGCAAACAAACAAATAGAGCATCAAGTGGTGATAAGTGTTATGGACATAAAGTATGGTAAGGAACTGGAAATCAGTAGGGGAAGGAAACAGGGTCTGGGGAGAATGTCAGGGAACACCTCGTAAGAGATTTTAACAAAGCCAAGGAGGAAGATTCAAGGGAAGATGTTAAAAGAGAAGAGTTATAGTATTCCCAGAAGCCAAACAAAGTTATTCCGGAAGGCGAAAGTCCAATACTGTTGAGCAGTGGAATCTCTCCAGAGCCGTGTGACCCTTGGACAAGTTGTTTACCTTTGGAGTGATGGTCAGCAATATGTTTTCAAAGATTGAGTACGTAAAGCACATTTCACATAGTGGAAAGGTAACTAAAGATTTTCTTCACATTTCATGGGTATAATAAAATAATGAATTTAAAATTCATAATAAAAGATTTTTAAGTGGTCTCACATAAGTTTCTTAATTTGCAGACTGTTTAATTAACTATATATGCAAGCCAAAATTTGAAAATTAATAAATTAAACTATAGTAGTTGTGGAACAGTTGCCTTGCCTTTTTAAATGTGCTATATTCGTAACAAGTGGCCAATTTGAGGTGTTGTGGGTCTACGGTAATTGTCATATGTTTAAATATGTTGGCATTTTCCATGTACAAATTGATAGAAACCATTTGTTTAAAAAGTGAGAAACAAGAAAATCAAATATTTTAGCATTCATTGAGGTCTATTTTGCTAAATTATACTTCCTGTGAATGATCAGCAGATTATGCCCATTTGAAATCTAGATAATGAGAAAATTGATTTGGTTCTTGTCTGTGTCAGGCATTTCCTAAAATCTTAGCATGGATTTCTAAATATGCTTTCAATTTTACAAATTTGACTGTGCAATGTGGTATGTGATCTAAACTGTATAGTAATGACAAAATGTAGCTACTACATGCTCTTTAAAGTAATGTAAAATTATATCTTTGGCTGCATCATACTATTTATATCTCAACTAAATTATTTTATAAAAATCAGGCATTAAAAATTTGACCTGGAAAGTATTGTATAGTGAGATACACATTCACTTTTGTGGTTCCACAAGATTTACATACATTTAAATACATTTTTATGTAGTGTAGTTTTTCTCCAGAAGAAATCTGTGTCCTTTTTGCAGACATGACTCGTAGATTTTTACAAGCATGTCAGGTGCCTTAACAGAAAAAGAAAGAAAGTCATTTTACTTAAAATAAATCATTTCTCCAAATTTTCTGAGGTACATTTATGTAGGTGCTAAGAGAGAACAAGAACTCTTTTTCACGTTTAAATACACAATATACCAGCTGCTACCCCAGCTATCCACTAGAGAAAGAGGAAAAAACTAAATTTCTGTGGCAAGATATAGAACAAAATTTATTGAAATCCCAGTGAAGGCCTTTGCTGTGTTTGATATAATAGGGAAAATTCCATAAGATATCCTCGATTGCATTTTCCTCATGTTAATCTTCATAGTCCTTGTGCTCCCAGGTCAGTTTGTAAACATGCTTCATTCATTTAGAATGGAAACTCCCGCCTCAAAAGCCAGTCCGGTTTGGTAATTACAAGACATTGTATTTCAAATAACATGACTACTGCTCGTTGTAAACACGGAATTCATTGAATTTGCTTCAGAGAGGTTGGAGCTTGGTGACCCCCCATTTGTTATTTTCCTTCAAATATGGAAGAAATGAATTTGTATTCTAAAGTGTGATTTTGATGAGCTTAAGTCAGCCTTTTTTGTATCTTATTTCCAAAGCTGTTCCCCTAGTTGTATTTCTGATTTCAAGTGCATTTTTAAAATTCATTTTTCATTCCTTATAAGAAGTCAGTATACATATTGAGTATTACTTGTGTTTTCTTTCATAGATCGTCCTCCTTTCACCTATCCTGTGTTTTCTAAAAGTAGACACTATCAAATGTTTTTGTTCCTCTTAAGAGATCCCTGGCAGCCCCACGACCCTGGCTACTTCTGTAGCTGTACATTTCTATACATAATTAATGAATTGGGGCTGAGCAGAAGGCACCAGTACACAAGCAGTATAGATTACCATGCAGTGAGGGCTTTTGAGCTTTTCAGTTTTCCATTTCTGAATAGAAAAAAAGAAATTCTTGCTTACAAAAATTCGAGAAGGGTTGAATATACTGTAGTAATAAATATTCTTCAGAGAACAAAGCATTCACCAGCATTAGAGGTCATGGACAGTCTTTGATCCTAACTTTATTATCCTGTCTTCCTCTCCAGTTGCGTCTCAACTTAGGAGCCCTGACAAAGTTGCTTTTTCTGGCATTATGGCAGTAATACTTAAAAAAAAAAAAAAGTTTTAGTGCTGGGGAAAGTTACGTCCCAGGTAGCACTTTTTGAGATATTTCTTAACCTAATTGCCCTTTTCGTTTCTTTGGTTTAGTAGAAGATGAAAAGGCCAGTAGACCTAACTGGTTACCTTCTCATGAGGATTCTGTGAGACAGTCAGGTCACGTAGTGGTTTGATGTGTCCTGTTTCTGTAGTCCGTCCTCCTCCTGTAAACACCATGAACACTTCCCTGTCTTTGGGCCTCTGTACATGCTGTTCCCACCTACCTCCCCTCTCCTCCACTTCACCTGCGTCCCAAAGCATTTTCTGGTTCCTGCTGTCTTGACCCTTCTTGTCTTGACCACCCCTTCTCAAGGTCAGGATCCCACTTTAGCTGTCACCCCTCAAGAATACCTGGCACACTTAGGGGAGCTCAGCCCCCTTTCCTTGTCCCCATTGCTAGCCTTTTTGCTTTTACATAGTAATTTATTGTCACTGTTACAGATTAGGCCTCTAAGGCTTGCCTGACAAAGTAGGTGTAAAATAATTGTTAAATAGACTACAAAGATCCTGATAAACTAAAATTGAACTTTAAACATAAAAATAATATGGACTGTTGGGTTTTAGGGGATAAATTGTTAGAATTTATAGGCTTCCTCAATTTTTACTTCCTTTTATATTAGTGTATATGCTTAAGAGTGCTATGATAATGGAAAAAATACATTTAAATTAAAATG